TTTACAAGAAAAAATCAGTTTATCTAGAATAAGAAGGAAACTGTCAATTTGAAGAAAACTTCGTAACTGACTGAGTTCCAATAGCCAAGATATATAGGTAATTAAGACAAATATCTCTATCTGTATAGGTGTGTATTTATATATATGTACATATATGTGTATGTATAAATATGGTCAAAGGATATAAATAGTTTATAAGATCATAGATAATTAGTGCTAGAAGTATTTTATCTATATCTACTCCAACCCCTTCAGTCTACAGATCAGGAAATTGAAGACCAGAGAGTTTGAGATTTTCTGAGGGTTCTACCCAAGTAATAAGTGTCAGCAGGATTTGAGCCCAGGTCCTATCACTCTGAATTTATTGTGGGTTTTTTTTTTTCCAGTTCTTTTTCCAGCCTCCATATCTTTGTTTAGGCTGTTCATGTACATCCTGAAATGTATGTCCAGTTTTCTGGGTGTTAAGTAAAACTTCAAACCTGTTTTAATCTGCATTTCTTTTAATATTAATGATTTGGTTGTTAGTAGTCTGCAATTCTTTTGAGACTTGGTTCTTATTCAACAAGTGTTGCTATGTACTTAACTACAAGAGACAGCGTAATACAGTGCATAGAGAGCTGAATTCAAGAATGTCTAGGCTCAAGTCATGCTGGCTAATCACTTAAGCTGTCAGTGTTCAAGATAATTCTCCAAGACTGGAAAGTTGCACAGAAGACTGTGTCTTGTGTAGTTTCCTCAGCTGGGAGTTCCCTTTACTTAGCACAGTGTGTGGCATATAAGCAGCCCTTACTTTTGACTTAACCATCTATGTGCCAGTCACTATTTCAGGTTCTGGGGATACAATGAAAAAAGGTCTTCTCTGTCTTCCAGGGCAATACATTCTTCTAGAATGTAATTTTATTAGAATCTAAGAAAGCTTCTGGGGCAGCTAGGTGATACAGTGGATAGAGTACCGGCCCTGAAGTCAGGAGTACCTGAGTTCAAATCTGGCCTCAAACCAAACACTTGATGCTTACTAGCTGTGTGACCCTGGGCAAGTCACTTAACCCCAATTGCCTTTAAGAAAAAAAATAAAAGAATCTGTAGCTTCTTTCAAGGCTTAGGTCGTTGACCAATTCCTATAGGAGATCCTTCCTGCTCTTCCTATTTTTTAGTGCTCTATTCCTCTTCATATTATCTTACATTATTAATTTTTCTGTTTTATCCCATGGTAGAATTGAAGTTTCTTGAAGGGCAGAACTACTTCTCTTTTTTGTACCAGTATCTAGTTCAGCACTTGTTATGTGGGAAGTACTTCATTAGTGTTTGTGGAATTGGATTACTACTAATTAAGGAATATGACTGTCTAAAGAGCACAAGAGTTTCTCCAAATCTTTCAGTAGGCAAGGATCCATGTTTCATTGATATGAGAGCTCTGCCAGGGCAGACTATAACTCCATCTTTTAACTTTGAAGATATATAGTAGGGAGATACATGAAATTTGAAACAGTTGGGAGCTGATCATGGTCATCCAGATATCAGAGATGAGATTAGAACTCAAGATTCTTGACTCTAGCTCCAGTACTTTAGCTACCATACCATGCTACATCTTAAAATGCTGTTCATTTTTTTTTTTGTGGCTGTAGAATTTATTTTAATGTCTGAAATTTAAACACTTATGGTTACCTATTAAGAATTCAGTGGGAAAAAAATTGATAAATACTTTAATTCAATTACAATGTTAGAATAACCAAGAGTCTGACTCTTGAATGAAATATTTTCATTCCAAGAAGACTTGGGCACCACTAACCATAGGCATCCATGTTGGAGAATTGAATCATCTCTGATATAGTTTATTTAAAGGGGACAAATTAGAATATGTAAAATATTAATAGTAAACTTTAATGCATTACAAAAATATATCAGACCCTGTTCTCAACTTAATATACACCTTGACTTGTTGTTTCAAACAGTTTTTTAAAAATGATCTTCTAAGAAAAAAAGAGCTCATTTTCTCAAATGAGCTTTCCATTTTTTCAGCATTTGTTTTATGTCTTTAGTGGCCTGGTTAATTCATGCAAGCCTAGTATGATGGAATACTGCATCAGTGAATGGGTGCTAACGTATCATCAAATAGGCAGTTCATGGTACAGAGCTTTGGTGATCTGATTGACCAGATCCTCTATAACTCATGTTTTGTGAAATAATTTTGGTGTCTTTTAACTTCTGGTAGTAGTAGTTTGTTATGAGTACGAGATTATTTCCAAACCAACAGATAACACCAATATAGACGTACACATAGTGAAATAAGACTAGAAAGTATACATACATTCATAACAGACATAGAAATACAGAAAAGAGTGAGAATATAAAACTAAACAAAAATGCCAAAATAAATGTTTATATTCATGACATAGGCTATGATAATGCTTATTACTTTCTTTAATTGAAATTGGTAAGCATAAAATGGAATAAACATAGTTGTGATCTGTTGGCAGTCTTTTGATAAGTAAATAATAGCGTCAGATGAAATAAAGGCCTTATTTTGGTAAAGCAGCATCAAAATATGGGTCATTTCTATTCATAATGTTTTGTACTCCTAAGCTACCTAATTCTTGACAGAATTCAAAGAATTATAATGCAGCTGTGTACCAAAAAATTGGTCACTAGTCAATCAAGTCACTTTTTTCAGAGCACTCTTTTTTGTCCTTTTAGTACAAAAATGAAAAGACAAAATGCACTTGGGTTTTCCTTTATTCTTTTTCTCTTGTTTAAATTATTCAGTTTGTAACTATATTAACATCTAAATATATAAGTCATAGATACATTGTTTTGATAGAAAATCCAGTTAACTTATTGAGAAAAAACTAAATAGAAAAGGAAAACATAGAGAAATATACACTTCTATGCAAATACAGTGTTTACCATCTGTTTTTGAAGAGATTACTCATAAGTGCCCTATTTGAGTTGCTAAAAGGACTAGAACAAATGAATAATTTATATTTGTTTCTTGCAATTTCTCACTTAGTTTTTGGAACAATGTCATACTGAAAATTGTATAGATTACTTGTAGCTTTTTGTTAATTGTGATGTTTTCGAAAAATTCATTAAAGAAATTTCAGTGGAACCCGCAAACTCTTTCAGATTGAAATATTAAGAACATTTATAGAGACATCAGTTTCAAATTATGGTTTTAAAAAAAAGGCTACCATAAAAAGACACTAAAAATATTATACTAACATTTCAATATTAGGACATGAATGTTTTAATTGGTATAGTTTATTAGTGAAACCACTGTATGGGATCTCATTGGCTAAAAAACATCAGTCAGCCATTTCTAGTTCTGTGCTTCTACAGATATGCTTGACTGAAAAAAAAAAAACCTCAACAAAATACTGCTCTGTTTCTTGGCACTTAAGTAGCAAAGTTTGGAAGGTTTCCACTTTTGATTTGTATCTCACTACTCTGTCTAGGCCCACACTTTCTGAGTACAGATATGTGGTTTCTTTTCCCCACAGCTATGGTTTTAATTCACTCTGCTTTTACAAATTTTAGCTAGCAAAATATTGTCACTCAAGTTTGTTTTAATAGTATGACCTAATAGTATATTTCAGAATCGTCTCATCTCACAAAGAACTTATTATTTATAAAAGAGATGTTTCATTTTTCCCTTTGTGATTTAGTTATTCAGATTTTCATTTTAAGTTAATGCTTATTTCTTCAGTTTTCTTTTTGTGATGAGCCATTTTAAATCATTAAATAAATCACTGTCATGTGAGCATGTAATATCTTTTCTTTCCAACCATGATATTTACCTAGTCTGTAATCTGCAAAGAAAGATTATAAATTTTTCATTATAGTTGTGTTAGAATTTCAGTAATGATTGTGCTTCTTATTGTTTCAGTCAATCAGATTTCAGCATTTTGATTAATTAATATACTAATAGGAATTGTTTAAATAGTACATTAGCATGTAACAGTGTAACCATCAAAGTAGGTCAGTGGGCCACTAGGTTATTAGGCCAAAAAAAACCCCTAAAACAAAACAACCGAGCCCTGAGTTAGTTTTACATCTTGCATTGATATTATGAAAATAGAATCATTTTACTTTTTTGAAGCCGTGTAACATTCCATAGTTTGTTATATACAATTAACTTTATGTGTGTATGTACATATACAACATATGCGTGTGTGTGTGTGTGTGTGTGTGTGTGTGTGTGTATGTGTGTGTAGACATACATATATATAAAAACATGGTCTCTGCCTGCCCTCCAGGAGCTAACAATTCTAATTAGTTCACATCTAAAGATGTTCCCACAGGTTGGATTAGGTGGGCCTGTTGTTATTTTTACATCAGTTGTTATTCTTATATTTGATAACCATTTGGTATCATTAATCTGTGTGCTAGGTTTATCTACTTAAATAAACTTGGAAGGTGGTATCAGTAATCAAACCCTCTAATGGCAATTCCTGCTTTGTCAACTTCTTGTTTTCTCCCCATTGCCTGACAAAGCTGTAGAGATAGTAAATACTTGGAGCTCCATTAGTAAATTGATAGCACATAGTTTGAGCCATATTTTCTTACCTTTAAAAAAAAGAAGGTAGAATTAAATCGCAAAATTACCTAAAACTCTGGTTTGCTTGAGTCTGTTTCTTGGTATTAGAGATTCATATGATTAAAAAAAATTATGGATTTCTTAATTGTTATTTTTAGTTGATCTACAGTAAATAAGTTTTTTACTTATGTATAATTACTTGGGTTTTATCTTGTGTTATTTGAGTGGTTTTATTTTTTATACAGAAGAAATTATAAATTTTAAATAGTGGTATATAAAATACCCAGTGTTATAAATTGACTTCTGTCAGTGCATGCTAATCTATGCTTGTGGTACATGTGGGCAGATTCACATTCTGGACATCAGAAAAGTGGCTGTTTTTATTTGGCTTCATGACAACTTTTTTTTTTTTTAAGTTAAATCATTCTCATATTCTTCTTCCTCTTTTTTTTTTAAATTTAAACAGCATTTGGAGATTTGATGACATGCTACAAAGAACACTTTGAGCCTACATTTTTCTGAAGAATTCATTTAAAAGGTCTCAGAAGAACAAGAGGTAAAGAAAGGGCTGGCACAATGATTACAGTGTTCTAGGAAAATATTAACTATTTTCAGTGTCATTCAAAAGCATTTATTAAACACCTCAAATATTCCAGGCATTGTGTTATATGCTATGGAACATTCTTGCCCTCAAGGAACTTAACATTCTGTGAAAGTGGGGATGAGGAAATGAAGGAATACAACATATAAAGAAAATTAAATACAAAATATAAACAAAGTAAATACAAGATAAATTCTAGTAGGAGGGAGATAGTAGCAACTGGAGGAATTAATTAATAAGGGCTTCAAGTAGGAATTGGTGTTTGATCTAAATTTCAAAGGAAACTAGGGATTCTAAGAAACAGAAGTGGGGAGGAGGGAGTATATTCTAAGTATAGCCTGTGCAAAGGAATGGAGCTAGGAGATGTAATGTAATGTAGTTCTCTCCAGAGAGGAGAGAATATCCAGGAGAAGAAGGTGATTAACAGTGTCAGTGGTTGTAGAGACTCGGTCCTTCCTGACCGAGAAAAGGCCAGTAGATTTGCCAATTAAGAGATCACTTATGACTTTGAGAAGGAGCAAATTTTTCTCAAATGATGAGGCTGAAAGCCATGTTGAAGAGACTTTAAAATTGACTGTTAGAGGAAGTGGAGTCACTAATTATAAATGGCTTTCTAAAGGAGTTTAGCTGAAGAGGGGAAGATAGATATAAGATGATGGGCTTATAATAGCTAGTAGGACCTTTTGGCTGCTTCATAGAGTGTGTGAAAATGTAATGTCTAGCTGTGATGATCTGATGAAAGTTTCCAACCAAACCCAGCTCCTCTGAGAAACTGTTACTTGACAAGCATTCAAGTGTTTATTATGTGCTAGGGACTGTGCTAAGCAGTGGGAATACAAAAAAAAGGAGGGGGAGGGGTTAAAATATGGTGCTTGCCTTCAAAGAGCTCATGTTCTGATGGGAGAGACAACATGAAAAAACCTATGTACATATAAAATATATTCTGGACAAACTGGAGTTCATCTCAGAGGGAAGGCACTAGCAGGGAATAGGGTTAAGGGAGTGTTGTAGGGAGACCAAGAAAGAACTCCTGTAGAAGCTGGGATTTGAATTGAGTCTTGGAGAAAGACAAGGCTGCCAGTAGAGAAAGGTGAGAAGGGAGCGTGTTCAAGGCATGAGAGACAGCCTTTGAAAAGGCATAGAGTCAGGAGATAGGGGTGTGACAAGTGAAGGACAGCAAGAAGGATTGTAGAATACATGGAGGGAAACAAAGGGTAAAAAGACTGGAAAGGTATGAAGAGTCCAGGTTGTAAAGGGCTTTAAATGCCACACAGAGTATTTTATATTTGATCCTCAAAGTAACAGAGAGCCATTGGAGTTTATTGAGTAAGGAAATTATATGATCACTTTGTGAGCTGAGTGGAAGATCGACTGGAGTGGAGAGAGACCAAACAAGTAGATTACAACATTCCAGATGTGAGGTAATCAGGACCTTCCCCATTGTGGTGGCTGTGTCAGAGGAGAAAGGAGGATACAGAGGAGAGATTTTGTGAAGGTAGAATGATAAAATTTGACAACAAATTGTATATGTGGGATGAGTGGGAGTGACGAATTTAGGATGATGCTGAGTTTAGGAGCCTGAATGACTAAGGAGGATGGTATTGCCTTCAACAGTAATCAAGCAGTTGAGGAAAGGGAAAATTTGAAGGGGAAAAGATAATGAATTCTGTTTTGGACATGTTTAAGTTTGAGATATCTATGGGACATCTAGTTTGAGATGTCTAAGAGTCAATTAGTGATGTCAGATTAAAGATCAGGAGAGAGGGCTGAATAAATAAGTCTTGAGAATTATCTGTGTAGAGATAGTACTTGAATCAGTAGGAGCTGATAAGATCACCAAGCATGGTGGATTAGCCCTAGAAGAGAAGAGGGTCCTAGGACAGACCTTTGAGATATATCTGTGGTTAATGGATTTGACCTGGATGGAAATCCAGCAGATGAGATTAAGAAGGAGCAAACAGAAAGAGAACCAAGAGAGAGCAGTGTCCTAAAAACCCAGAGAAGAGAGAATATCCAGAAGAAGGTGATTAACAGTGTCAGTGGCTGTAGAGAGGTCAGGAAGGATTGAGATAAGGCCAGTAGATTTGCCAATTAAGAGATCACTTATGACTTTGGAAAGCAAATTTTTCTCAAATGATGAGGTTGAAAGCCAGATTGAAGAGACTTTAAAATTGACTGAGAATAAAGGAAGTAGAATCACTAATTGTAAATGGCTTTCTAAAGGAGTTTAGCTGAAGAGGGGAAGATAGGTATAAGATGATGGGCTTATAAGGACAAGTAACGGTTTTTTGTTGTGTTTTTTTTTTTAAAGAATGTGAGAGAAATTGACATTTTTGGAAGGAGCCAGTAAATAAGGAGAGACTGAAGATTAGAAAGAGATTGGAAATAATAAGAGGGGGACGGCTGCTGGAAAGGATGGGGAAGGGATGGTATTAAGAATGCATATAGAACAATTTGCTTTGGCAAGGAGAAGGACCCCATCTTTATGAAGAGTTGGAGTGAAGGAGGAGGTAGTTGGGGAAAATAACTGAGAAATGTGAGATGAGAAGGGAAGAAGAGAAATTGTTTAAATACCCCAGCAGAGGTGAAAAACAAAACAGAGTGAAAAACAGAGGGGTGCCAAACAAATCAGTGATTCAATAAAACCAAAGAGCGAACACCAATAAGCACCTGCATCTACTCTAGGACTGCAGACCATGTCTGGAAGCTTGTGGGCATTCTGGTTGGAGGGGCTTGGGGTGGTGGTGGGGATGTTCCAGAAGCCAGGAAGATCTCAAGTAAATAGGGACTAAAGCCTGTTGGAACCACAGGAGGGGAAAAGCCAACTCTGAGACTCATACCTAAGCTAGTCTCAGGGGACAAAGTCAGATCCAGGTAGGTGACTGAAAAAAGACAGAGGGGCTGAGGTACTATGGCAGCATTCACCTGTGGGCCCTCCAGGAGGCCTGAAGTCAGGATGATCTGATCTCTGATATCTGGTTGTGTCCTGTTGGGAATATCCCAGGAGACAAAGCCAAATTCTGATACGAGACAGAGAAGGGGCAGACCAGCAAGTATTTTGAGCCACCAGGGCCCCCAGGTAGAATCTGTTAATGAGTCAGAAGACAGAGCCTGATCCCAGGCCTGGGGCTCAGATTCTTGTCCTAGGCCAAGGCTTTGTAATTAGGGCGCAGAGGAGTATCAGGAGCGAGTCACCTTATTCTGAATTGTAGTAAGATGACATCAGAATTAAGGCTTCAGTGGGTAATAACCAGGACCTAGCTACCTCATCCCAAAATTCAAGCAGAATGTGGAAATGGCAAAAAGTCCCAGTCTAGCAACTGAAGCTAGAGACATATGCATAGAGATGATAATTGAGTCCATGAGAGCTGCTAAAGTTACCAAGTGGGAGAGAGTAGAGACAAATACTATTCCACACATGGAATAGTCAGATGCTGGGCTTATCTATTAAAAATAATATCATATGATTCTTAAAAATATACTTTTGTATTTGTGGTAAGCAAATAAAATAGACTTATTTCTGTATTTGATTGTTTCAATAACATCTTATCTAAATTGTTTGGCAGTAATAGCACCTTACCATGAGTATTTAGAAAGATAAGTTTTTGTTGAGATTTATATAAGGCCCATGCCATTAATGACTTGTGTTGTCATAAGACAGTAATGTAGTGCTTACTCAGCTGATGAGTTCTACTACTGGATGACTTTGAGCTCAAGTTCCTTACATAAAAAGCTTTTAAAAACTCCTGAAAGTAATTTCATCTTTTATGGTAAGTAAATTTTAGATCTTAGTAACTGGAAATAATTTTCCCCCCACCCTTAATTTTTAAAAGAATGTTATTTTATCACACTTTATTTAAGATCGGTGTTTTGTTTTTGTTTATATTAAGCAAATAAAAACCTAAAAATGTAACTTGTCTTATGTTAGTGGATTTTATGTTACTTAAGATTTGTTAAAGTTACATGCAAGAACATGGGTAGACTATGGAGACTTAGAATCTTTTTTAATACACATAGCAGTACTAGATTGATTCTTTAAAAAATTCTTTAAAAATTTTTATTATGAATTTAACAAAACATAAATAAATGTGGATATATCGGTAGATAAGGAATGGATAAAAGGTTTGTATGTGAAATTGTTCACATTAACTCTTAACTGTTAATTATGTAACTTTTTTTTAAACATTTATTAATTTTAATGTGATAGTAACAAAACTACTTTTCTGTCTTTTAACTTCTGAGCTTCCATGTGCTTTTTCTTATATTTCTCTAATATTTTATTGATGTTCTTTTCGTTCACTTCTTTTTTTGCATCACTATTGCTATTCACTAAATCTTCCCCCTTTACTGTCTCCCCCTACCAAAGCCTTCCCTTATAACCTAGAAGAATAGCAAAATAAAACAAATCAACACATTTTTATGTCTGTAAATGTATGTCAGATATGATTACTGTGCTTTCTTGTGAAATGTGTGCCTGGATAGCATCCTAAAAGAAAGTTCCTTTAACACATTCCTTTCATCACTTTTCTTGGTTAACTTTCAGTTGATACTATCTTGGGGAATATAAGGTAATCCTTTTTATTGAGCCTGACAGCTGGGCCCTTTCACTTTTTATCCTATTTGCTGTTGCCTTGCACACATAAACAACCAGTTCAAAATGTAAAGAAAACCACTACAGTATTAGAATCTCTGGATAAAAGCTATGTAGCAGATAGAGCACAGATGGGAAATCAGAGGACTTGGGTTTAAATTTTGTCATTTACTACTCATGTGACCATGGTTAGGTCCCCTTTAAATCATCAAGCATTTATTAAGCACTTATGTGTCAGGCATGGTGCCAAGTGCAGGAGATACAACTATAACAGTAAAACAGTCTCTGTCATCCAGGAAGTTATATTCTAAGGAGGAAGACAACATGTACATCTAAAGCTGTATTCAACATAAATAAAAGTAGACAAAAGGTAACCTTAGAAGGGAAGGTGTTACCCAACCACGAGTGGGCTGCAGAAAGGCCTCCTGCTGAAGGTGATGCTTGAGCTGAGGAAAACCAATGATTCTGAGAGGTAGAGGTGAGGAAGGAGAGCATTCCAGGCCTGAGGGACAGCCACTGCAAAGGCATGGAGACAGACATAGAGTGTTATGTGTGAGAAACAGAAATCTGACCAATAACAGCTGATTTGTAGAGTGCATAGAGAGAAGTAATAGGCAAAAAGGTGAGAAAAGTAGGAAGAAGCCAAATTGTGAAGAGTTTTCAATGTAATACTGAGTGGATGGTATTTGATTCTGGAGGTTTTAGGAGGCCACTGAAGTTCATTGAGTAGGGGATGACATGATCAGATAGGTACATTAGGAAGATCAATTTGACAGCTAAGTGGAGACAGGACTAGAATGGGGAGATAAAGAACAGGACGATTATAATAGGCCAGGCAAGAAGTGATGAGGGTTTGAATAAGAGTGGTGGCTGTGTGAATGAAAAGAAAGAGGCCAAATGATCCCATTTGGCGTTTTCTTGGCAAACATACTGGAGTGGTTTGCCATTTCCTTCTCTAGCTCATTTTACAGATGAGAAAACTGAGACAAATAGGATTAAGTGACTTGCCCAGGGTCACATAGCTAATACATGTCTGAGGCCAGATTTGAACTCAGATTTTCCTGATTCCAGGCACGGCACTCTATCCACTGTGCCACCTAGCTGTTACCTTTAATTATAAGATTTAAAAATATCGTATCACTTTACTGGTAGTAGTTCTCAAAGGAAGTAATCTGTATAAATGCGATATAAATGTATTGTTTATTGTGTAAGTATTATTAAAGATTTTGCTTTGAGATGTCCTCAGTTCTACATTCTATCTTTGCTTATTAGCTAATAAGAAATGTGTGACACAAAGGAAAACAACACTAAAAGACATCAAAATTCAAGTCATTGAAATGACTAATTTTGAAGACTAGGGATAGAACAAACTTCCCTTGTTTCTGCAGAGAAATGGTAGACTTTGGATGCAAAATGAGGCCTGCTTTATCAGAAATGCTCATTGTGTTAGTTTTTTTTGACTGTGCTTCTTTATTGCAATGAAGTATAGAAGGAAAACATTTTGGTAAATGTTAGCAGTATTAAAAGTATTGATGCTTCTTGATGTTTGTGATCCATATGAAGAATGACTATAAAGTAATGAGATTGCTTTATAGATATACTTTATATTTCAGGAGAAGACGTGGAGTACGAATTAGGCAGAAGAAACTTTATTATATTTCTCTATTGTTCTTTGGCTGCTTTGCCTGAGAAAAATGTCTTATGCATTTAATGGTACTGTTTGTTTTTGTTTAAAATTATAATTCTTTTCTATTTGCTGAACAGATTTTAGATTTGAAAATATTTTGATTTTCTCAATAAACATTAATACCTTCTGTATCTAAGGCCCTGTGCCAGTTGGTTTTATTTGTATTTCTTAATAGCAGTGGTGTCAAACCCAAATAGAAATGGATCCCTACCAGCTGGATATTGACTTAGAAGACCACAAATTAACATTATCTGTTTTATTGTATTTTTATTTATTTTGTTAAACATTTCCCAATTACATTTTAATCAAGCCATATTTATGAGTGTTTCAGGCTGCATATAGCTGTCATTTTGACACCTTTGCCTTATAAATGCCTTCTGAAAAAAAAGATCTAGTTATTGAAGTACTATAGCACAAGTGCTTTCTAGTATTAAGGCAGTTAACACTTATAATCATGGAAAACCTGTCTTATTCCTTCAGAAAGCCTGTATATTAAAAGGTAGAGTGAGGGCTGTGTTTTGATTTTTATAATCAATCACAGCAGCAAATCCATTTAGAATGTATGTTGTGTGAGATAGTTGAAACAACCTGTATAGTGGATAGAGTTTGACACCAGTTCTGTGACTAAAGCAAGTCACTTAACCTTTCCAAGACTGAGTTTCTTAATCTGTAAAATGAGGACAATAGTATCTGTAGTGCCTCATTTATAAGACTATTGTGAGATGATATATATAAAGAAATGAGCAAACCTTAAAGTGTCATACAGATATCAGTTCCAATCCAACAAACATTTATTAAAAACTGCTATATGAAAAGTAAGGGAGCAGCATCATAGTACAGTGAATAGGGAGCCAGCCTCAGAGTCAGGACTGCCTGGGTTCTTCTCAGAGAAGTAGGTCTGATCATTTGAGGAGGGAGAGAGTACTGATGGAAACTAGGAAAGCTTCCTAGAAGAATTAACATGTGACCTGAATTTTGAAGGAGGCTGCACTTTCCAAAAGGGGGAGCTGAAGAGGAAATGGATTCCAGGCAGAGGGGGGCAGCATGGGCAAAGGTGATGGAGGCAAGAGAGGGAATGCTGAGGCTAGAGAAGACCAAGCAGGCCAGTTTGACTAGAACAGAGAAGGTATGGCGGGGAGTAATGTGAAATAAGCCTGAAAAAGTATGCTGGAACTGTTTTTCCAAGGGATTTAAAAACCGAACTGAGGAGTTTGTTTATCACAAGTAGGGGACCCCTGAAAGTTATTGAGTTGTGTGTATGTGTTAGTTGTGTACATATGGGTTCTTTCCCTCTGTCTTTGACCTCTTTGTGGTGTACATTTAGTAATGCTATTGCTGGGTCAAAGGGTATGCACAGTTTAGTGACACTTTTTCTTTTTTCAACCTGGACTGTTGCCAAGCCAAATTCTAATTTGTCCTCTTGCTTCCATTCTCTTCTGCTTCAATTCATCCTGCATGTAGCTGCCAGAAGTAGCTTCCTAAGCACATCTGACCATGCCCTTGCCTGGCTCTATCATGCAGTCAGGAACCTTCATTGGCCCCCTGTTGACTCTGTTATAACATACTAACTCCTCAGTTTGGCTTTTAAAAAGCCCTTCACAGTATGGTACCATATATATATATCTATAATATATGTGTACACACACACACACACACACACACACACAGTTTGCCATTTACCTATTTGAATTTCTTTTTCATAGTACCAGTAATTTTACATTTTTAAAATTTTATGATGGAAAGTTAATAGTACAGACTTAGATTTTACATTCTTCCAGAGTTCTTTTTTTTTTTATTTTTCAAAAAAGTATGTGTACGTGTTCACATGAATTAGAAGTGCTTACCCAATAGTTTAATAAGTATACATTGAACTAAATTTATTGAGTAGACTTCAATAAGTTTAAAAAGCATTTTTTTATGTGTGAACATGTATAGCTTTGACAAGCCTACTTAGTTTACTAGGAAGTTAATATCTTCTTATTTCTCTTCTTACTCAGGTAGATGTACAAATGTCTACCACAAGACGAAAGCGCAGCATGTTATGTACTTTACCATAAGCTGTCATAAAATGAGCTCAATTGCAGACAGGTATGTTATTAGATGCTGTTTTATGTTATATTAATTTTCAATGGCAAATTAATAATTTATATCAAACACATATAAAAACTTTTATACTTAAACATAATTGTTTTAAAGTCTCATCTTTGGGTTAAACTGTCTTTTTTTAATATTAGGTAAGGTACAATATTATAGTTTAGAGGCAGCAACAAAGTAAGTAGGGAAGATTGCAGTCTGGTTTCTTCCATAAAAAGGATATGTAAGAGAAGTTCTTACTGGTAAGCATACCTTTTTAGACGAAAAAGATTTGACCACAGGAACTAATGATGAATTAAACCACTTGAAACTTTTATATTATTGAGACCATTGATAATAGAGGTAATTTTTAAAATTGGCAAATATAAGTCTAATGACATTAGGGAGAAAAAACTAATGGTTTTGTGAACTGCCTTACCTCAGTGCAGATGTATAAAAATTGAAAATACATTATTAAAATTCACAATATTAATTATTACATTTAATGGCAAAAGAAGTGACTTCCCACAAACTTTTGTTTTTGCCTAATGGTGTTATACTTTATATTTAACTTCTTATCAGAATTACCTACTATAGAGGTGGGCAGGGCAGTAATAGATATTAAATAGATACTTGTTGAATTGAACTAAAAGTGAGTTATTGAAAAGTTTTAGTTTATATGATCAATTGGTTTTATAAAATAATCATAAAGCCTACTTAATTAAGATGATTTTACAATATATGGGTCAAGCCAAGTAATATGATTTTTTTCCTATTTCATAGTGAGTATGCCATTAATCTCTGTTTTAATGTTTCAATGTCTCCTTCAGAGATGACGGTAGTATTTTTGATGGGCTGGTGGAAGAAGATGACAAGGATAAAGCAAAAAGGTGGTTATTTGAGATGTGTACTTACAAGTAAATGATTAAATTGACTGCCTTAAAAATTCAAATGTATTATTAAAGTAAAAGATCCTTTAATATTGGTATGCTTTTATAGCATAGCATAACTTATCCTAAATTTTTTAGTGTATTTTCCTTTAAAAAATTGATACTGGCAAAGACAACAAACCTTACCAAGCAAATTAATATGAACATGATTATCATGTTACAAAGAGATAAATTTACTAAAACAATTCCTTAAGTGTTGTCAAATCATTTCCTCATGGAGAGACATGAATAAATACCCAAAAAAGGTTAAAGCTTAAGGTGATTGATTTTAGATTGGCAGTGGATTGCTTAAATAAATACAGATAAAGAATGTCTGGAATTATGGGTAACTCAATAGGAGATGTGGTTAAATCAGTGAACATTCAGTTTATGTGTAACTTTTCAAAGAGATGTTGATGTATAACTATTTTTATCTGTAACTACATGTCTTACTTGATCGTTAATGCACTATAGAAGTTGGAATTTTTTTAAAATAGTACTTTAATTTCAATTTTAACTTGCACTTGCTTAAATTGAAATAGTAAGACATTAAAACAAATGAACATGAGATGGCCCAGTGCTAGGGCACTGACATTCTTTCATTTCCACTTACTGGAATACTTAATGATGAATTTGATTAATGCTTTAAGCACTTGGTTTATTTGACCTGTAAATGAACTTAATTTCACATCAACAAATCTGTAAGTAAGTAAATAATATAGCCACTGTTTTTCATAAATAAGAGTTTTACTAATATGAGCTATATTTAACTTTGTTTCCTTTAGTAAGACATGTAAAAATTTGATCTATAGTACATTTGGCTATAAATTCAATATAGTATTTTTTTTTCTTCATTATAACCAAGACATCCACACTTTGATGTTTAAGATATAAAGATTCATGAAATGAATCAAACACATTTGTTCAAATGAGTTGAGAACATTGTTCAATTTGATTTTATGTGAATGGTGACCTTTTTGTAATTGTTTGCTGACTTATGTGGAATACATAAATGAATGTCTTTTGTTAGCTTCCAAAATGAGTGGCACATTCATTTGTATAATAGTTATTTAAAATTTTTTTAAAATCCATAATATCATGGGCATTGGATTCTGAGTCAAGAAATAATTGATTCTCCAGTAAATATTTTGTCATCTAAACATGTGGCCACTAGACTAAATTGGCTAGTGATTCCAACTCTATATTGAATGATTGCTAATCTTTCTTCAGAGTCTCCAGAAACAAATCTGAGAAGAAGCGCAGAGATCAGTTTAATGTTCTTATCAAAGAATTGGGATCTATGCTTCCTGGTAATGCTAGGAAGATGGACAAATCCACTGTACTACAGAAAAGCATTGATTTTTTACGGAAGCACAAAGGTATTTTAAGCTTTCAACGTAATAAATTGTATTCAGTACAAGCTGAATCCAATATTGGTTTTATTTGTTTAAAAGCAAGGTATAATGTACAAAAGAAAACCCATGGGTAGAACTTAATCATTTTAATTTTTCCTGGTTGTCTTATTTGAATGTGGGTAAAACTTAAAATTTTAACGCTTGTTTTGTAACTTAATTTTTTTTTGTTTTGTTTTGGTTTTTTTAGGCAGTTGGGGTTAAGTGACTTGCCCAGAGTCACATAGCTAGTAAGTGTCAAGTGTTTGGTCGGAGGCCAGATTTGAACTCAGGTCATCCTGACTTCAGGGCCGGTGCTCTATTCACTGCGCCACCTAGTTGCCCCTTTTTGTAACTTTAAAAAGAGTTTTTATGTCCTAATAAGTAATCTAGAAGTGAAAAGCAATTGGTCTTAATTAGCAATTATTGTAGGAAAAGTGTGTAAAATACAATCTTTTTATTAATCTTTTACAGAAATCACTGCACAGTCAGATGCCAGTGAAATTCGACAGGACTGGAAACCTACATTCCTTAGTAATGAAGAGTTTACACAATTAATGTTAGAGGTATATCAAAATTCATCTTCTTAAAAGTTTTAATTTTAAAAGATTCTCTCTGACTTTTGATAAATACTGTATCACTTTGATTTGATTTAATTCAACAGGTTGTGCCTTCATTGAACAGTAATCATTTATGGTTTTTGTATTACAACTTTGGGAAGACCAGGGCTAAATTTTTTTAGATTTCGTATTATTTGAATTTTTTACCATCTTAATAAGAGAAAGATATACTTTAGATTGTTCTTATTCTGAGGCTTCTCTGGGAATAAGTAAAATATTCATTATTTACTGTGCTTTAAATGATATTAGATATGTCACGTCATATACGTTGACTAATGCAAAGCCTGTCCTAAAACATTTTTAAAAGGAGCAGCTAGGTGGCGCAGTGGATAGAGCTCTGGCCTTGGAGTCAGGAGGACCTGAGTTCAAATGCAGCCTCAGACACTTGACACTAGCTGTGTGACCCTGGGCAAGTCACTTAACCCCAATTGCCTCACCAAAAAAAAAAAAAAGAGCAAACAAATACTTACAAAATTTTTTTTAATGTATTGCTAGGAGATAATAGTAAAACATGGCTTTAGGTTTTAATATATAAGAAAAAGTTATTCAATCTTAACTCATTAGAAATTCTTTATAGGAAATTAATGTATGTTCTTTTGTAGTAAGGAAGTTTACAAAATCCGATTAATTTGAATGCTAGTAGTGATATATTTTTATCAAAATTGTCAAATCTGCTCAGAAAATCAAATAATATTTTTGGAATCCATAATTTCTTTGATTTCTTTCCTGTGGGTACAGCCTCCACCAGCATAGATTGAAACCCTTCTATGCTTCAGTCAGTGGTCTTTTGGAATTACTGTGGCTTTAAAAAAAATTTCATCACCTACCCTTTGGTGATAGAATTTAGTCTGATTAGTACTCTGTTAGCAGACAGTTTGACATTAAGTCTGAAACTCTACATCTTTCCAGCTTGTTGTTGTACCTGTCAGAGTTCAGGTCTTTCTAAGACTTCAGGTTCCTTAGAAAAGCCAAAATTACCTTCATGCCTTGATGAGGCTTTGGAATGGTACTTTAGTGGATGAACCAGTTATAAATGCCATGTAAATATTGAGATGTTCAATCACCAAAGTTAATCTTATATTTTTACCTCTTATGAGTATGGCAATGTAACAGCTGCTATCCCGGTATGTCAAGTGTATTTAAATATTAAAAGCATTTGTATGACAGCCTAACAGAAGAACTGTGGGAGGTAAGAGAAATAGTATTTTGGAAGTATACAGGCTTAGGTGGAGGAGGAAGAATAGGAAGGTGAGAAAATGCATGAATAAGAGAGAAAGGTAAAGGAAGTAATCAGCATAGAGAAGCACAAAGATTAACTATTAAAACCTTTCCTCACTTGCTGCCTAATTTTCTTTTATTTTTAATAATAAGCATTTATTTAATAAAAAGAATTTTTAGGCCATAGGCAAAAAGGTATATCCAACTATCTATTATACTATATATGTTTATATTTCCATGTGACAAAAGACCAAATCGTAGCAAGGGAGGAGAAAGAAGCATATTCATGAATTATCTTTTGTTGATATCAGTTGTAAATGCCAGTTGTTAGGTTAAATAAATCTTGGTACTGAGTTGTTCACATGAAAATATTGATGAACATAGCTTGTGATATGAAGTGAAAGATTTGTAAAATTCAGTCATATTTGTGAAGTCTAGATATAATTTGTTTTTGATGCCCATGTACATATCTGTAATCAAAACTCAATATCTTACCTAAATAAACATGCAGTTAACTTTTTTATAGTTGTAGAGTAAACCAAAGTGTAACTTATAATTTTGCTAATTCTTTTCTCTTACCAGAAATTAACTTATTATTTAGTATTACTAATTTAGCTGTTATATCAAATGTTAGTGATGTGATTGAAATACTTTTTGTCTTTCAGAAATTATTTTTAAAATATAATTATTAAATCCGACTTATTCTTATAGTATTTAGAATTCTGCCCCTGAAATTTTCTGTATGCATAGTTCATATTTATTGTATAAAGCATATTTTTTGCAATTAGTAAGTATATTAATAAGTATATGATTATTACAAAATAAATTTGTTGTCTGATTTATAAAGATAAAGTCTCTGAGAGTCAGAGAGAGAGAGAGAGAGAGAGAGAGAGAGAGAGATTGTGTATGTGTGTGTTATTCTTGGATCTAGATTTTGATATAAACATGATTTGACCTATTTGCAGAATTTTCATTGTTTCAAATCAAGATGTGGGAGGAGGGGGAATCTAAATATCTGATTTCAGTAAGCCAAATTTCACCTGGCTATGGTTTGTCTGGTCAGAACATATATATATATATATATATATATATACACACACACACACACACACACACACACACACACACATATATATACATATACATATACACATATATACACATATATATACATATATATACATATATATACCTATATACACACACACACATACATACACACACATACATACATACATATATACACACACACACACACATACACACACACGTATATACACACACACACATATACACACACGCATATATATACACACACACACATATACATATACACTCATATATAGACACGTATAACAATACATGCACCTATATCTGCATTAAAATATGTATGTTTGTATATGTCCATTTACCTGTATGGTGTTTGATCTACTTACTTACACTATGACTAATAAAAATAGCTATTACTGACATGACAGTACACCATTTTATGTACTGGCCAGAGAAGCTTTAGCCAATTGAAATATGGCCTTCTATTTAGATTCTTTTCCTATATCCTAAACTGAAACATTAAAAATATGGCAAATGGCCAGGCCAGTTTATGTTTGAACAAAGTCTAGATTGAAGAATATACATACATGCAAGACTGTGAGTAAGGATTGTTTCCTTCTTTGTATTTGTATTCCTAGTGCCTAGCACAGTGTCTAGGTCTGACAGGGATGGGGAACCTGTGACCTCGAGGCCGCAGATTCCCTACCCCTGCTAGGATATACTGAGTACTTAAAGAAAGCTTGCTTGCTTAATACAGATATACATATGTGTGATAACTGTGTGTGTATACATTTTAGTAATAACAGTAAATATTTTGTTCAGTTGTGTCCGACTCTTTATGACCTTGTTTAAGGTTTTCTTGGCAGACCATGGTTTGCTATTTCCTTCATTAGTTCATTTTACAGATGAGGAAACTGAGGTAAACAAGGTTAAATGACTTGCCCAGGGACACACATCTAGTAAGTGTCTGAGGCAGTATTTACTAAGTGCCAAAAATATATTTGATTTGTAATAAATAGGAAATATTATATAGCCTCTTTCAAGGCTGTACATGTAAATGCTATGAAGATAATGGAGTAAGAATTTAATTTTTAAAGAAGTTTTAGAAAGAAGGAAATCTGTTTTCATTTTCCTTTTTAAAATGTTTAACATATATATACATGTGTGTAAGTGTATACACACGTCTTTTATCTATACAAGATGAACATTTTACATATTTTCCTACTGCTTCTGATGTTTGCTTGTTTTCTTAATTTAATAGCCATAATTCATGGACTGGTAGTGGCATTTATTGATTTATTAGCTGCCTATAATGAGGATAAACAACAATAGGCTAATGTTTTATTACATGCACATTTGTATATTTTATTCTTATTTCAGTAATAGTTTTATTATGAAAAAATATTGAGAGAGTTTATCCATTTTTGTACCTGATAAGTTTATATACATTATATACATGAGCTATAACACCTATGTGTACAGAACACTATGTATAACATAACTGAAGGACAATCATTGCCCTTTAGTAGTGTACAATCTAGTAGATGATCAGAAAAAGAGTGAAGGGGGTTCTTTGTTTTTGTTTTTTAATTTAGTTACCTGAGAGGAGGCTAAAATTCACACATACTTGTACAAAGAAATTGAAGGGGAAATAACTCACAGTATTTTGGTAGTGCCCTCATAAATCTAGATGAATTATATATAAATATCTTTTCTTTCATTCTATGAGATGACATTTTTATTTATCATATGAACTTTTTTCTTTTCATTTAACTGACCATTATGTTTAATTTCAGGCTCTTGATGGTTTTTTTTTAGCAATCATGACAGATGGAAGCATAATATATGTATCTGAAAGTGTAACTCCATTACTTGAACATTTACCAGTAAGTATAAAAACTGGTTACTAATGAATCAAACTATAGACTAAGTTTCACAAAGGGATTAGAGGTCTGTTTTTTGTTTTCTTTTTTTTTTGTTTGTTGGTTTTTTTTTCCGGGGCAGTCTGGGTTAAGTGACCTGCCCAGGGTCACACAGCTAGTAAGTGTCAAGTGTCTGAATTCCGTTTTGCACTCAGGTCCTCCTGACTCCAGAGCTGATGCTCTATCCACAGCGCCACCTAGCTGCCCTTAGAGTTCTGCTTTTAAAAAATCAATTAGTGCATGTATCATATCTATTTAATTTCTTTCCATGCTTATCATTGTGTTTTGCACAGTGCTTAGTAATGTTTATTGAATTGAATGACAGTAGTCTTATCTGACTCTTGTGTACATTCTCGATTACTTGTCCTCACTTCCATCTTCAGTAATACCATAACATATTAATATGCTGCTAAAGATGGAATATTCTAATTACTCTCTGTTCCCTTTGCTTGGAATCATCTCCTTTATAACCTTCACCTCTTAAAATCTCTGGCTTCCTTTAAGATTGAGCTCAAAAGCCCCCTTCTGCAGGAGATCTCAACCTAGTTCATACAGATACCAATGACTCCCTCTAAGGTTATTTTCTATCTAGTTTTCATATGTCTTTTATGTATCTATTTATGTATTTGTTCTCTCTCCATTAGTTTGTAAGCTTCTTTAGGGCAAGGACTGGTTTTTATTTTTATTTGTATCCTAGCACTTAGCACATTGTGGTTAAAAAATCTGAGACCATCCCAATTCATGTGCTTGTTGATTGATTTAACAAAGGTTTAAGACCTACTTTGATAAGAGGAGTAATAGTAAACACTATGGTAGGTGTGGGGTGGGAATCCAAAGATGAATAAGACATGATCCCTCCTTTGGGGGGTTCAGGGTGGGAGGTACTGTACTGTGGACAGGTACTGTAGACAGGATTCAGTATTGAGATATGGTTTGGATGACGTAAGAGGTTTCTTCTAGCTCTAAGATTCTGTGATCTTAAGCATACTAAGACACATAAAATATGATTATTAACACAAAGCTATATGTAAGTATTGGATGGTGATACCTTTTTACATGGTCATATACACATCCCTAGAAATAAACAAAAAAAAAAGTAAATGGAACCCAAGTGGATTGCTACTACCTCCTAGATGGTGAAGAACTAAAGCTTTCAAAAAAAAAGTTAGGGAGAAAATAGGATGGGAAAAAATCCAGCCTCCCTCAACCAAGAATAGCAGGACTGAGACAAATAGCACGTTAAAAAGCCTGAAGAGTAAAAGTCAGAAAGAGGTAATAGAAAATGGAATTTCAAGAGACAAGACCCATGGGAACACTATCTAAATTAATGATCTGCTCAACAAATTGTTAGCTGTTTTGACCATTTAGCTGTTGTTTATTGATTGATTGATTGCATGGGAAGAGAAATACAGATGGAGAATCCTTCAGACAATCTGTTCTGGGGAGGGTTACAGTTGTGCTTAAGATGGGGCTGCCTCATTCCATTATATGGCTTGACTGAGGTGTTATTATAATAATATTTTATTAAAAAACTATTTTCTGCTGTCATTCAGCTTTTTTGGTTACTTTTCAAATTGATCATATTATATTGTTACCATATTGGTAAGCTAACAATATGACTGTCTTTTCTTCATGTGAAAGATTGACAATATAGTGTATTCTAAAATAAAGTAAACTCTGTTTTAGAAAAAAACAACAACAATGTATTTCTTACTAAGAATAGATTAATTTGTAAAATTCAGCCTATAAAACATATGTTTGTGCATAGTTTTTAGGTAGAGTTTTGTACTTGTGCCATGTTGTTAGTTATCTTTCCAATTCTTTCTCCCATAGATCTCATTTATTTTCCATCTTTTTCCTTTTATCACTTTTATTTTACTTATGAAATCAGTTGAAACTCTTGCTTCATCTCTTCCAGGAATTCTAGTTGAACTTATATCCAAGCTGTCTTTTGTTTTTTTGTTTTTTTATTTTTTGTTTGTTTGTTTTTTGGTAGCTTTGCTTGTAGATTTTTTGGAATAATTTTTTTCCTTCCAGAATTGTGCCCTGAGCATGGTGGTATTCTTTTTTTGTTTGCTCATTCTTCTAATCCTACTTTCTCACTTCATGCTTTATGTTAGAGCCTTATTCTGACACTTCCGGAGAGAATTTCTGGGCTGAGCTTTTATCTTTTTGGGCCTTTCTATTGCTTTTTTGGGATACTGAATGTAATTCTAGGATCTCAGTGACAGCCCATGTTTTCAGTGCTCCCAAGTTGTGTGTGTGTGGAGGTGGGGAGGAGGTAAAATAGGCATTTATACTATGTGCAAGGTACTGTGCTAAGTGCTGTTTATAGATATTATCTCATTTGAACCTCCAACAACCCTGTAAAGTAGTTGCTGTTATCCTCATTTTACAGTTGAGAAAACTGAGGCAAACAGTGATTAAATGAATTTCCTGGAATCATACAGCTAGTAAGTATCTGATCCTGTATTAGAACTCAAGACTTTCTGACTCCAAATTCACTGCTCTATTCACTGCACTACCAGCTACCTCTGAAAAGCTGTCTGATCCAGGGCATTCTTAATTGTTGCCTTTCTGGTCTTAGTTCTGCAAATTCTTGACCTAAGTTTGAGTGTGAGCACCACATCCCTGGGCTTGTCCCTGGTTGGAGTTCTAGTGGACTGCTGCTAGACTCAATCGCTTTCAGCTAGCTGAGAAGCTCTGTATTTTCAAAGTGGCAGAATTTTATGCTCCCCTTTGGTCTTGCCCTGCTTGTCCCTCTACAAACTTCAGCCTGGTCTGGAGTCTAGGACTGAGGCCCTCTCCTGCTCTGAGGGTTAGTCATACAATTAGTTGCTTTGATCCTTGCTCAGTGTATAGCCTAGGGTCTGCAAAGCTCCTTGCCCTGGACCACCACCCTTAAGCTCAGGTCCCATCCTTGACCAGGTATTGGATCTGTGTCCCAGAACTGATTAGTAAGTGGCAGAGCTGCCAGTTGACACCTGTTCCTGTTCCCTGAATGAGTTTGGGTCCCTCTGTGTGGATCTGGGACTTCTTTCTTGCCTGGTGCACAGCTTCAACCCTCTTTTAAACCCTGCATTGAAATGCCCTACATGGCCATTCCTGGCTAGATAGACCCTATCGCCTCTGTCCACAGACCTCTTTGTCTCCTTATGCTGACCTTGACTGGAAAAATGGCTCATGATTTTGTCTTAGATTTCCTGATCAGGACTTGGCTGGTGTGTTTTTATATGTATATATATTTTCAGACAAGTTGTAGGAGAGAACTTGGCAGGGATTCTTCCTGCCATGCTGCCATCTTGACTGATCTCTTTGTATGTGTAGTTTTTAAAAAGAGATAATAATTAGTCAGCATCTTTGGTTTGCAAAATGTTAATTTAACCTTTTTTTTCCCATAGTGGAATTAATTCGCCTATATATTTTCCCTAATGGTATTAATCTAGATAATATGGTAATACAACACAAGAAGAATAATTAGTGTATCTCTGAATCATACTTGTTTTTATGCCAGTTTAAAAAAAATAAAAATGTACTATCCTCATCAGAAATATTAAGAGTGTGAGGGCAGGTACCATATTTTTGCCTTTCTTTGTTTCCTCAGCTTTAGTGCCTGGCACATAATAAGTGATTAATAAATGCTTATTGATGATGATGATGATGATGTATGAAATACTTGACTTCTGCAACTTAAATGAAGCAAGTTAATAAAGAATTGAGACTGTAGTTTATTAGTGTACATAATCAGTCACATGATTTTATAGTAAGTCTAGGTTTGTGAAATAAATTCAAATACATTTTCATAAGTAATCGAAATAGAAGCTTTTTACCTAAATTTACTTTGGAAAATTGGTTAATTGAATTCAATAACTGCTAAGTGTTAGGTATTGCACAGAGCACTGCAGATCCAAGGACAAAAATGAAACAGTACTCCGCTCCAGGATACTAAATTGTGCTGGAGAGATGAAAGCAAAGATACAAAAAAAAAAAGCATAATCCAAGGTGTGGAGTGAAGCAAGGAAGAAAGTACACTTTTTAACTTTAAGAAAAAAAGAGAAGGGAGCAGCTAGGTGGCACAGTAGATAGAGCTCTGGCCTTGGAGTCAGGAGGACCTGAGTTCAAATCCAGCCTCAGATATGTAACACTTATTAGCTGTGTGACTCTGGGCAAGTCACTTAAACCCAACCACCTCACAGAAAAAAAAAAAAAAGAAGAAGGAAAGAGAAGGAATAGAAATGATTGAATGAATTTACTTTGTTAATACTTTGTTAGGGTCACAGAATTTAGAATTAGAAGGTGACTTAATCCTTGAGTTTACAGATGAAGAAGCATCCTCAAGGAGATAGTGTTTTGCCAAAAGTTATAGTGATTGATTGTTAGACCTAAGAACAGAAATCTATTTTGCCGATTCCTAGTTCCTTCAATTACTCTGACAGGGAAAAAATTTGAACAGTAGTTGTTTAAATGCTAAGAAGATACATTTTAATATATTTGTCAGAGTTTGTTAAAAGGCATTGCAGAACTTTGAACAAAGGACTTTAAAAAAAAAAGGGCCAGTCATATCCTATTTCACCAAAATTCAGTTCTATAAAACGCTGTTAATAAGGGATAGAGTTTATATGCTATGACAGTTACATGAAAATGACTGGGTTTTTGTTATTGTTGTTATTTTAGAAAGGGTCAGAATTCTGTTTGCACTTTACAATCTTTGGGCAGACGAATTTTTATGTTTAGGAGGCAGAAGAAAACCTGAATTCTCTGAATTTAGTGTATTTGAATTTGAATTAGATATTAAACAGAAGCTAAGTGGAAAAGTCCAATCTCTAGTATGGCAATAAAATCTCTTTAGTGTGATGGGCTAACCTAAAAAAAGCTAACCTAAGTATAAGTTAAGTTAATTGAAAAGTTGATATCTAACTAATTTCATGGTTACCTCCCTAAGTGGTAAGAGTATCTCAGCTTCA